GCCCTGAAGCCCGAGCTTGATTGAGCAATCTTGGCCCTTTATATAACACAAGATTGTGCGTAAGATGTACGATAATGTGAAGCAAGCGAGAGAAAGGGAAACCTTCAAAATTCCGGAAAGGGAAACTTTCAAAATTTGATTTATAACATGATATTGCCATCTCTGCTCATTGATCGAATGTCACAGAGTTGTGTATGATATATTCTGACAACTTAATAAATTGCTATATAACTATAATCGCTTTAACACATGAATATAATTACATTGCTAGTTGACACGATGATATTAACGCTTCTCATAGATATATCTATAAAATGCAATCGATTATATTTAGACAGTGAGTCAGTTCAATATCCTGTCAATAAAGAGCTAATTAAGCGAGGCAATGAGTAAATATATCACAAATGATATTTACGTAGTATAAATAGCACGCATGTATAACATTCAATTTTTAATTAAGATTTAATTTGCAAAGTAAATTGAAATTCACGCTAGGTCTAAAGGTGTATCAATGAAATATCAGTCGCGATTTATTGTCGTCATCGAAGAACGATGGCCCGATGGGAATTGCCCTTATCTTATTTATGTTCTGCCAAATCGACGATGCCAAGCCTCATACTACACCCCAGGAAACTCGCAATCAGTTCTCTCTGTCACTGTTACACGCGAAATAGTGAGACTCATGCATTTTACTTTGATAAACGATATCATATTTGTTTCTCGAGAGACTCAGAATTTTTTTTAATAAGAAATAAATGCAATAAGAAAGGGATGATGTTAATGTCTTATTACACAAATTTGTACGTTATTTTTAATTGTGAGGCACAAATGTAATATTTTAAAAAAATTATTTTTTCAAGAAAAGTTTTATGTGTGATCTTAATTTATGTCGCTATTGTTTTGTATTGTAGAATGTGGATTACGAGCTGTCTGTGCAAATGCATGAGTTATTATTGCTATAAATTGTATGTTCTTTCTAATGTTCGTTCATATAAATTGAAGTACATTGAATTTTTATAATTAACATATAATAGTGCGATAAAATAGAATTATAATCTACTAATCGCAACATCCTGTGTGACTTTCTGCGTATGCAGTTAAGTCTCTTTAAAGCGCACTCGCTTTTCTATTCGGCTTGTTAACATCGCGGTTATTGTAGTCTTGGTTGGTCGTTACGAATGAAGTTAATTATATAAAATAATTGCATGTCATAGAGCTACGACGGTTATACGCGTTTACAAACAGCCTAAGAGCAACCTCACATATCGCGCTCGCTTGCAGATTGCGGTAGACCACGTGCTCTGCAAAGCAGCTGCAGAACTGTTACACGGATGGTGCTTTCCTCTCGCGTGTACCTTGCAGTTTCTCGACTGAAAGCATCACGTCTGAAGAGGGGAACGTCGAGATTGAAAAATATGTTTACACATGTATGAGAGTAAACTTCGTGCGTAGAAAACGCACACCGTGATAAAGCGACGCGCGTAATGACAGCTTGACACATTAGAAATTTAATTGTAAGAATATTCATCAGAAATCATATTGTAATGAACTTTCTATATTGAAAAAATTTATAGTACAGTAAATAACAAATTTCTTATTTTTTTATATTTGTTTCTTTTTTTAATATATACTTAGAATTAATTATTATTTTAATATAAATTTAATTGCTTTTTCTCTATAATTATTAAATTAGAAAATAAACAAAAATTACTTAATCTGTAACTGGAATTTTTTGATGAGACTGAAAGTTGATTTATTGCGAGGCTGATTTTGCTTTTACGCTGTTGATCGGAGGAAATATGTGTACAAGTAAACAGTCATATCAATCTTCCGTTACAAATATTTTTATTGATTATAGAATTAATTTAAGTGAGTAGTCGTTATTTAATTAGATTATATTTGATATAATTATATCTGTTTATAACAGGATAAAGAGACTGTTCTCTAATAATATTAACAATATTATTAAAAAATGCGTGCTTTTTAAAAAATCTTATTTTTTTCTATTTTAATTGTCGTCGGAAATAATTTTCAAAATGCTATTTTGTGCAGAAGCATCTTTTTTTTTTCACAAATAGATGACTTGGCGTTTCCGACGCAAACCACGTATCGTGAGACAGATGGAAAGCATCGATTGCACTCGTGCACTCGTGCACTCGTCAAAGCCAAGGGAAAAGATACGATATCGTTCTTTCCGTCAATACTTCCGCCCAAACATGTTGAGGTAAAACTCGTTGTGTAAAGTGCACGATAACTATACATACATATCCACTATTTGTGAATTTAGACGACGTATTTTAGTAACTGCGATTCCGTTTTCGATTTATCGTATACAGAAACGTTAAGATTTATATAAAGATATTTTTAAGACGGTCAAAATTGCAAATGGATTTAATTCGCAAGTTTAAGAATTTTTTATTCCTTTAGCAAGCATTATATTTTGCAAATATTAGATTCTATTTTAAATAAGTATTTATTTGCAACTGTAATTTTTACAAAATTTCTGTAATTTTACGTTTTCAATCATCTTATTATGTTATAAAATATTATAGTGTGATATCATGTTAGAATAGGAATTTTTGTTTCATCTTGCAAAATCTGAAAAATTTTTGATTCGTATGTATTTATCAATTTTAATCGTTATTTTCGGGATCTATGTAAACATTTCGAAATTTAATTATTTGAATTTTGATAGATTATTTCATATGGACGAAAAAGCAAGGTATTTCAAATTATATTATAAATTTGAAAACCATGTTGTGATATGCTTTTCAGTTGAACGCACGATTAACGAGATACTCCTACGAAAGATTGGGCTTGTATTACTGATTCTCCTTATACGTCTTCCAATATTACGCATCGGAAATTGCGGGGAGCATCCGAAGCAGCGGATGAAAATAAGGCGATTGCCTGAGACGGTCTTGTCAAAGGAAAGGAGATACGATATCGGTTCTTATTCGCCGATATATATTTTCTCTGGGATTCTCACAGCGAGAGAAAGAAAGAGAAAGAAAGGGGAAGAGAGGCTGAAAGAGAAATTCGTTTTGCAAAGTAGCACCGAGCTCTAAGATCCGCGCGAGATATTTGTGAGCTGCAAAAGCATCGGCGGATGCGAATAGAACGGAATGAACGAACGATCAAATGGTTCGTGTGAGAGGCCTCCGGCTTACAAGGATAATCTCTTTGCAGTCATCCGTATGGCAAAGGAAACGATTTGGTGCAGCCGCCAATCCAACCCTCCCATCAGCTGCTGCCGAAACATGTTTCACGCTTCCCGGTCAGGCTTAGGAGCAAATTTATATATGTGTACAAAAGTGAATATACTCTTCTTCAAAGACCCTTGGTCGAGGCAAAAATTCCTTCACTTCGGCGGCGCAACGGCGAATATTCCTTTTTCTCGAGTTGTATTTGCGAACCGAATGAGACCCACAGGACGAAAACTTTTTGCAGAAATTGGGATACTTTTTACGGCCTTCGCGAAATACCGCTGGTCCACGGGATTGACCTCTTTCATTCATACGTATTTCCACATTTATGTACATTGCGGTGTGAATATTTATTAACTTTCTTCTGTGGTAAATATTGAAATTATTTGACATAAGAAAACATCCCTCTCGTCATCTTTCTGGTAAACATTGCAGAAATGTCTTTGCGAGAAATATTTTTACTGGTAATAAATCTTTACTAGTAAAGATTATCGAATTTATAAAAACTTAGAAAATCTATCTGCAATATAATATGTGTTTATTATGTATTTATTATCACTGTTAATTAAAGAGATTAATTCTTTTTCATTGAATATTTGCCGAGTTAAGAAATAAGTTTGTGTGCGAAAAATATCGGTATCTTTTTTAACAATATACATAAAGTGAGAGACATTGAGATTGAGATACAATTAAAAGTTGAATAACTGCTTGATAACTTATTGTTAGTTACTTGTACAACGCCCAATTTTAGTTTAACTTTTTGTTCTCGTCAGAGTATTGTAGTTTAACTTTTATGTTTCTTAGGAAGGGGAGATAAGACTTTTTTAAAAATAGTTGGACAATCTTTGGAGGTAAAAAAAGTTACTGAATAAAATTATCCACGTGTTTTTGCTATATAAGATATTTCGAACGTATCTAGGCATTTCGTGTATAAATTCTTTATATAAATTCTTCTATTTAATTATTCTATACGATTTTCTTTTAGTAAAAATTTAAAGAAATATTTTTTAATATATATATACAATTTCTTAATTTTTAATTTATCATTACAATAATTAAATTTTAAGAGTTTGTAAGACACTTTCTTTGAAAGAGATTGAAATAAGATTATTTATTATTAAAGTTAACTAAACTTTAATATCTCTCTTATATAATTGTTTTATATATATAAAATAATAAAACAAATTATTAAATATTATATTAAATTAAAAAATATAAATATTATATTAAAATAATTTATGAAAAAAATTATGTAAAATATGAAAAATAAATGATGAATTAATTATTTAACATTTATAAAATTTCGAATCAAATCGAAGAAAATATTTAATTTCAAGCTGAAAATAATATCTGTAAGGATTTGTAACTAAATTTTTTTTAATACATATGTTATTAATATACTTTCAAATATTTAGCTTTATTATTAATGCGACTTAATGCACGCCATATGTCATCTAACAGAGTATCTCCAGATAATCTCCGTATAAAATCAATTTATTTTTAAGTGTTTATTAAACAGTGACGCATGCAAAATAATGTATAATTTTTTTTTCATAAGATGTATACTTATTATCAAAAGAATATGAAATTAATAACGTCAATTTACGAAAAAAACGAAAATTATTTTGCAATATTGAATAATTTTTTATTAAATAACTCCATAAATTAATAGTTTAGAGTATAGCAAATATTATGCTTTTAATCGATCTTATATCTCCTTCATGCAAAATAATAATACAGTCTAATATTTTGTTGTAAGATTATATATAAAAATTATATAATAAAATAATTTACCGGGCTATGATATCTGTAACCAGACTGAGCTGCCAATAGCGACGCCACTTGCGGTCCACCATATATCATGACAACCCATTCTTTGTGATAATCCTCATCGATATTATCGATCAAATTGGATGCAGTTGTAATGGTGCCAAGGAGTTGCATAATAACTAGTCCGCTCAATCTGTGGAATAAGCAGAGTTTCGAATATCACATTTTCTCCCCTTCGTGTTATAACGTGGAGGAAAGAAGATTGCGGTAAACCTCCTTCTGCATAAGCCGATTTCACGAGCAGTTTCGTGAAGACAGATATATTAAAAATATTCGATTGCCGTAGACATAAAAGTATTAAGGACGTACGATTCTTTTATTCTTGCGCGTTTTTTTTTAGCATTTAATTTCCGTTTTTAAAAAAAATTTACTTTCTTTAATCATGAAGAGCTTGAAAATGTGATTAATGTAAATTAAAAAAGCAATATATATTATATGGAATGTTATATTTAAATCCCTCAGTTTTGATAACTTACAGTAAAAATCATCTGTGACACGTGAGAGACATTCACGTTGCACGTTGAGCTGTATCTTATCATTTTTATCACTTGCAATTATTATTGCATTTGTGTGAGTGCGTGCGTGCGTGCATGCGTGCGTGCGTGCGTGTATGTGTGTGTGTGTCTGGATACAATTTTCAATAAAAAAGATACACTATTTCCACTGGCATTTCATGTGACACGTACCTGACCATCAGGGTAATCTTCTTTTCGCGTGGAGAAGAAAAGCCAATAAATAGCGACGACTTTGCAATTAATTAATACTTTCACCGCACTATACTCTTGAGGAATCGTCGTCCTTTTTCTTATCACTTTCTTCGCGATACTGCTCCCACGAGTTCAGGCGACTTCGTTCGATTTCTCTGTCGCACGTGTACCGTCTACGCGACTGGAAGAACAACAGGAGCAAAAGTATTCGCCGGCTCTCCGACTATTGGATCGCGAGTGACAAGTGATCGCACAGTGTGCGTGGCAATTAGCCGCGATTGTCTTTTTGTCTGTCTAAAGGGAGGGAGTTTGTCGTCACCCTGGAGCTCCACACTATGGTGAACGATAATCCGATCCGGTGGAAGGGTTGGAAGGGTAGCGGATTAAACAAACATGACGTAATGGGCACGCGTGGGACGGGGCAAACCGATGATAACGATTTGTAGATGATTCTCGATTATGAAAGCTGCCCAATATGTTTGTACTGATATCGTTTTCCATTGTTGAACGGATAAAATATTATTTTATGTCTGGAATACATAAGCGTTTCTGTTTCCTCGATAACGCTTTTCTTTCTATATTTATTTGACTTGGAAAAATTACATGCATATTTAATTTGTTATTTTAACTTAATTTTGTTACACTGCTTAAAATTATCCGTGTGCTGTTTAGGGCATCGTTTTTTATAAAACTAAAGCAGCGTATGAGAAGACGGATGGATGGATTAGAAAGAAGAGAAGCCGTCTATTACCAAGGCAAGTGTGCGCTGATAATCCGGGCAATAAAGTTCACCGGTCGAGCGACAACAGGTCGTAGCGTAGACGGCAATTAGCCCCATGCTGTTCTCTTTTTATCTGTAGGGAATTTTGCCCTTATTGCTCTGCTCTTATCATTGTTTGACTATGAGAGAAAAAGAGAAAGAGAGAGAGAGAAAGATGAAATTCTTGGATGCACTCTGTTAATTAATCTAAATAAAATAATTTAAAAAGTTCAATAATAATAATAATTTTTAAAATGCACGACATATTTTAGCATAAAATATCCAAAAAAAAATTATTGCAACGACCATGTGTCACTCTCTCTATTTCATATAAAGCGTATTAAAACTTTAAGTCTTTTTTCTCTATTTTATTACATATAATATTTAATATTTTATCATACATAATATTTATATATTATATTACAACAACTATAAATAAAACGCGTTGCACACTCTACTTTTTAATTTGTAATTTGTTTCTTGTAAAATTTGGCAATATTGAACTACAATGTAATGCTTGCATAGAATGCATTAATTGTAGTTAATTATTAAATAGCATTGTAATTATTGAAGAGCTTCCGGAGAGCCAATTCTCGACATAACTGGACGTATCTGTACGGAATTTAATGAGAATTCGGATCGACACCGTTTGAAACAAGAAGACATTCGTTGTCGAGTCCCTCGAGAGCTCGCGAAGGGAAATGGCGTGCGGCAATTTTGTTGAGGGAATTATTCCGAGCCATTGCCCCACGAAATGGGTTAGTTGCGATGTAATTGAGACGCGAAATAACAGCATCAAACAGATGTTTCACGTCGCGCATGCCGTAATCTGAATCACAATTGTACCGACGTTTATGATGGCAAGAATTAATCGCACTTCGAAATTCAACTTTCGCGCAACTTCTCTTCGATTATTAGATTCAAGATCAATGTATTTAATATTCTTGGCGCAAAACTTACTTCTGTGCACTCGATTAATTTTTTACGGCATTCTTTTAATAAATGGTTGTTTAAGCACAGTATTTAATGCTGATTATTTCCTTTTATCGTTAGATATTTGCGCGGCGATTAGCTTGAATTAATTCTTTGAATTCATATCAGAAGATTATAAGTCAGACACTTCTGAGTATTTTAAATATTTACCATAAACTTAATATTTAAATGTTTGTGCTATTTTCTATTCGTTATTTTATTATAAAATATGAAATTAAATGTTTAAATTTTTTGCATTATTTTATATTCCTTATTTTATTATAAATTCTTGCATATAAGTTATTTTATTATTTTATTATAAATTCTTTATTTTATCTTATTATAAATTCTTGCAATATTTATACAAAAAAATTCTATTTCAATTAAACATTATAATTTATATTCTTTCTCATTTATATTTTAGAAAGTTAAAAAAACTAACTTTGGGAAAGATATATACTATTATTTTTTTCCAGGTTGGAATTTAATTAATAATATAATTAAGGAGAGAAAGAGAAAAACAGCCTAAAAAATTTGATTGAAAATTAAAGTAACAGATTTGTATATGTGTATGTTAAAGACAATAACAATGAAAAAATATAAAAAGGCTTTTCTTTTTTCTAGTAATAATATGCGAACCAAAAAATATGCACTATAATGTACGATCATAATTTCTTAGCAAGACTTAATTAAAATAAGATATTTACGACATTACTTGCAATGTAGTTTATTAAAATATTACTTTTCCATCTTTGCGCAAAAAATAAAGGGTTGAGTGTAAAATATGAAAAATTTGTGAAGCGTCATGAATCGTTTAGCGGGAAGCTGTAAATTAATTTTTAACAATTTTAAACAATTTGCCTTTTTAGGTAAACGATACTCAGAATCTTACTCAGTTTCGCGCAATCAAGAATTAACATTAAGTCAACGTGAAGTAGGAATACATTTCGCAGGCTACGCTCGAAGTAGCGTAACACGTAAGCGCGTTTAGACGCGGATTTACCCTTAAATAAACGGAATTTAACTTTTGAGAGACGTGTGTCACGTTTAATAGATCTGTGCTTAAATTGGGAACTCATCTACGACGAGTGACATATCGGTCCATTGATATCTAAATGCGTTTATTTATACTTTCTTGATTTGTTTTATTTTCGCGAAACGATAACTTGACAATTACGAACGACCAGTTAAGTGCCGTTATGCAGTCCCGACTGTACAATTACGTGCATTCTACAGGCGTACCACGAATATGTACTCCCGTATGGATTTAACGTTGATATGGAATTTCACTCGCATATTGCCTGCCCTCGGTTTCTGGAGTTTCTGGTCGTCGCCTCGTGGGAACCTTCCGCATACGATTTAAACTGCACCAAATCCTCGATATAATCCATTTAGGGCCGCCTGCACTAACATCGCTTAGAACTACGTTTCATTAAGTTAATTAGACTATTCTCTTTCTCTGTATTATAGAAAATGCTATTTAAGAAGTGGCGAAATTATTAAGCTAGATTTATCTATTTCATCCAAAATGTCGACGAAAACAGTCATAAATCGTGTTTAAATAATAAATGTATTAATAAATCTTTCACATATCAAATCAAATCATTTTTTATAATACATACAAGATAATAAATATATATATGTATTAATATATTAATAAAATTGTGATTTAATGTGTGTTGAATTGTTATTCACGGTTAATTATCAATTAAATTAATTGCTTGAAAAAATCTATGAGAAAATTGAAAATTAAAAATATCGTAATATCTTTCACATATCCCAATATGATCCCAAAACACTAAATATTTTAACATTATACTCTCTGACATTTACTTCCAATACCGTTCTCTAGCTAATTCCATCGACAATGGCTACCGAGGATTCTCGCACCTCCGAAATCCCTCTCCCATGAACAAAGCATTTCCTTATTTGAGTAACGAAAACGACTACGTGGCATTCAAATTCGCATAATTGAAATATAAACGCGGTTGAACAACTGAGAATCGTTTTATGGTTTTTGATTGGCGAAGCGACTCCTTTTGTCGTTTTCCCGAAGATAACGCTTATAAATAAATTCGGTCCTTTTTTTCGGTCTTTTTTTTCGATTTTTATCTGTCCCTATCGCAGAGGCAGATGTACACGGGAAAGACAGCCGATAAAAGCCTAAACAGAGAATCGGCGAACGTCGTAAAATCCATGGGAGAAGGAGACGAGAATATCTGTCGATAAAAGGGACACTCGTTTTGCTTCAGCTCACGTCGAATTTGGCGATAAATCCTTGCTCTTCCCTCTAGTTTTATGCTTCTCTTTCTCTCGTCTCTCATTCTCTTTTTTCTTGCTTTTTACGCAAATTTCCTCTTAAAGGAACAAGAGAATTACGATGGTGTAACTTCTGTTTTTTATTGCAGACTTTTTGGCAAGGACCGCATTTAAAACGGTAACCGGGCCTCTGTTTATACGAAAACTTTGACGATTGCGGCGAGTAATATATCAGATCCATTTCTTTATCAGAAATAATAATTGTTGTTGTATATATATGCATCGAAAATATTTATTTGAATGATTGTTGAAGCAAAATATGATTATTAGAATTGATCTTTTTTTAGTTATATTTTTCTTAATTATCTTTATACGTACATGTTGTAAATTTGACACGCTGTTGGTTATACTAATAAATTTTACCATTTGTAAATTCAGAATTTCGATATTTCAAATTTTGAATGGATTTGCACCTAATGCATATTTGTATTTAACGTCGACAGTGAAAAATAGTTGATACAGCGTTACTATTTGAATCTGTACAATTTATACAGCGCAGTGTATTAACGATACGATCTTACAGATTTGCAATTCAAATCAAAATTTGTTCATACAACAATGACATTTTATCATCCTACACGCGATGTTATAATGTTAATCATGTTGACATTTTGTTATTTTATCATAATATGATAAAATAAAATTTAAACTTTGCACGCTCGACACCTATAGACAAATTTTGTGATTCGGCAAGCAAAATATATAACGTGTTCAGTTGCGCATTAGTTTTGTGTTAGTGAGTCCTATACGTAACATGCTCCGACAGTTTTCAGATAATTTCATTACATTAGTTATTGGAAGTTCCTATTCCATTAGGTAACTCTGTATTTTGTGCATTTCCATCCTCATGTCTCCTCTCCCACTTGACTCCGCGTGCGTTCCACTTTTCGTACATCTATCTATGTATCTTCGATGTATATTGCGAAAGTTTTGCGA